AAAAGTACTCAGTGCAGTAAAATGGTCGCTGTCAGTGTGTTTGATTAATAATACGTGATGTCACGCTACAGACACACTTCAGACTGAAGCAATGGACGCTACAACCCACCAGACTCCATTAAGAAAACCATTAATTTTACCTTCAGATCATCGTAACTTCATTAAAGTGAACAGAAACAGAATAAAACTGATTAAAAGCGTCTCTGTTAGTGTTTCCAACAATCACCAACTCTGGTTTGGTGGAAATAAATCCTTAATTCACCGACGTAGATGATAAAAACAGCAGTTTCAGTCGGAGCAGACCGGCTATGGAAACAAACCACAGAGAGGCTGCGATACAACACAGGCAGAGTTTCCGATTTGCCGATGACTCATTTTAAAGGAACCATTAACCATAAATCTGTCCGTGTGTTCTAGGTATGCGTCCATCCCGGTGTACGCGGTGCCCCTGGTGGCCCCGTGGCAGTGCAACCTGGGGGCCGCCCTGCTGTGGCCCCTGCAGCTCTACTGGTTCACACTGATCTGCAGAGGAGCTCTCCGCCAGTTCGCAGCAGGACGTTCAAACTCGCCGCCGCCTTCCAAACCCGACCGGGACGGCTGCCTGACCACGAGCAACGGCCGCACGCAGACTTCCACATGAGCTGAAGCAGAGAGGACGGAGGCTGCGTTCACAGACCCAACCAGTGGGAGGAGGTTTCTCCTCGCTGTGTGTGAGAGGAGGCGCCGGTTTCCAGCCAGAGGAAGTCTGACTGATGATCAGCTGAGGAACGGACAGAAATCAGCTTCTTATTTATTAGCTTTCATTTCGACATGAAGACACAGAGAGCAGGTCTCTCTCATCTGAACTCGGCTCGTTGGACTCAAATTACACAAATAATCAGCCTGGACGAGTTCAGTGAGAACGTTTACGTGCTGCTGTTGTATTTAACTGATTACAATTAAACCTTTTTAAATACAACTGTTGTCTCTGTGGGCTGTAGGGCAGTGGTTCCCAACCTGGGGGTCGGGGCCCCACTGGGGGTCGCCAAAGCTTCAAACCTTTAAAAATATTTAAAGCTCAGCATTTAGTTCATTTCTGTGAAGAGAAAACTAACTTTGAAATGTGTTTAGATAGTATTTATGATTGTTGTTGCATTTATTTCACACATACAAATAGAAACAATAAACATAATAATAAAAACTCACATTACATAAGAGAATTAAAACAAACAACATAGAAACTTTTTCATTTGTTTCCATTTTATCTTTTCTCCAAGATAAAGCCAAATATAATAATAATAATAATAATAATAATAATAATAATAATAATAATAATAATAATAACAACAACAATAATAATAATAATAATAATAACAATAATAATAATAATAATAATAATAATAACAACAACAATAATAATAACAATAATAATAACAATAACAACAACAATAATAATAATAATAATAATAATAATAATAATATATTAAGATTGTTAAAATAAATTGAAAATACAGACGGAGAATTATAAAAAGAGTTCCTACAACGATCAATAAAACTCATCTCTGATCAATATCCTGCAGTTATTAAGTTCACTGTTTGTGTTCATTGATCAGTTTACCAGCTGTTATCGATATTATTGATTATGAAACCAGTTCACTCGATCATAAATTAATAAAATGGTTCCTTTGAGGAGAAAACTCGGTGATCATTTAAAGAAAGTCACAGAACACTTTTTTTATCGATCACATTGGCAGAAATGGGCTTCCGTACTTTGTCCGGTAACGGCAGCTGTCAACACACAGACCGCCGACCCGTGGAAGTATCGCGAGAGTTGGAGCAGCGCGAGAACAACGGGTCCAGGCGAATAGCAAATATTCCCGTTTAGCATCAACAACAACCGATAATCGGTGATCGATGGTTCCGGTATGTGGACCCACAGAGACATGAGCCGTGCGCCGGTTCCGCCCAGAGACACGGATGAAGACAGCGGACTGGGACACACAGGTAGCGGCCCCCCAGCGCAGTGTGGGGGGGGCAGCGGAGCTAGCTGGCTGGGTTATTAATAGCTAACTGGCTAACAGCTAGGGTTAGCTGCTAGCTGCTGTCGGTTGGGGGTTCAGTGTTTGCTCAACGGCAGCGGCAGCGGGCAGCAGCAGCGGGCAGCGGCCGTCACTGAACCCCGCGTACCGGACTAACCCCCCCCTCCCTCCCGGGAGGAGGCTCGGTAACGGCAGGTCCAAAGCTAGCGTTAGCTTAGCTTGTTAGCTTAGCTAGCGAACGTTACACGTCTTTAAAGAAGGAATGAGCAACACAGCTAGCTGCATGCTAACAGTGGGTGAGGGGGTCTGGGTCTGGTCCTGGGTCTGGTCCTGGTCCTGGGTCTGGTCCTGGTCCTGGGTCTGGTCCTGGGTCTGGTCCTGGTCCTGGGTCTGGGTCTGGGTCTGGTCTGGTCCGGGTTGGGTCTGGGTCTGGGTCTAGCCTGGTCTTGGTCCTGGTCCTGGTCCTGGGTCCTCCTGGTCCTGGTCCTGGGCCTGGTCCTGGTCCTGGTCCTGGTCCTGGTCCTGGTCCTGGGTCTGGGTCTGGTCCTGGGTCTTGGTCCTGGTCCTGGGTCTGGTCCCGGTCCTGGTCCTGGTCCTGGGTCCTGGTCCTGGTCCAGGTCCTGGGTCTGGTCCCGGGTCCTGGTCCAGGTCCCGGTCCCGGTCCTGGTCCCCTGGTCCTGGTCCCAGCTGCTGGTCCAGAGACCTTTCCCCTCTGGTCTCATATTAAATGAACTGCAGTGTTTTTGTGTTATGATTCTTTCTGTTCCTCCAGAGGTGAAGCAGATGTTGAGATATGAGTCTGCTGTATAGAAACTGTGGAGCTTCAGCGAGCCGGGTCGGGTCCCGACCCTCATGTTAGGAAACCATCACACGGAGATATAATCGTCAATAATCAGAAATATAACAGGAAGAATAAAGTTAGAGGAGAACGTGAGGCGATCCGCAGATTGTTTCCTGATGTTTCTGTTTTTTAACAATCATACAGATTTAATATTCTTCCTGTCGTCGTTCTATCAGCTCTGTGAGTTCAGATATTCAATAATCAGTTAATGCAGCGTTTGCTGTTGGGAGACGTTCTGTACAGGATTCAGAGACACATTCCTGAGACACAATCAGCGACGTCGAACTGGTGTCTGAGCTCCTGGAGAGGAAGCGACTGTCGGAAGCGTGGCTTCATTTCAGAAACTCCAACTTTCCTCCACAGCGTTCATCAGGAATCAATAAGGGAATCAGTAAAGAGTGTAGTGGTTGTATAATAAAGTCCAGTAACTTGAGTTGATTCAGGTCTGAAACGGTATCAGTAATCGCTGTCAGAGCCACGCACTGAAGAACTGTTTGGTCCCTGTCCTTCCTTTTAAGCCACGTATGGAGAACGAGAACAAATCTGCCCTTTTCATTTATTTAACATAGTGAAATTTGATCCCGTTGTATCGTTGCGCCACCGTTCGGGGGTCACAAGGGGTCTTCATTGGGTCCAGCTGCTACAGTCCTTAATAAAGGAGCTGATTGCAAAATCCTCTGAGCTCCTTTTGCTCTTCCTACATTTAATACAAAGTGTTTCTGTGGTGAAAGCTTCACTCACTGAGCTCCTTTTGGAATAAAATCCCCAAATTCAGGAAACCCAGATTTCTTTCTATGTGCTTTGTTGTTGTTGTAACTTTCTAAAGACGTGACTCTGTGTGTGTACAGATCATGTGAGTGCTAACAGTTTGTCTCTGTGTGTCTGCAGGATGTGGCCGCACTCCTCTGGATGTCTGACAGACGGTGAAGACGGGGCCGACCTTGTGAATCATCCAACCTCCTCCTCTCTGAATCCCATATTTTCTTGTTGAAGAAGTCTTTTCATTTCACTAAATAATGTAGCATAAAGCGAATCCTCTGAGATATCTGACCTCTGCTGACGGTGCGTCGTCTGTTCGATGGGGCTGAGCACAGCACTTCAGTTCACACTCATTTGTAAATTATTAGACCGATGTGCCGCGTTTGCCCCCCGTCAGTTACCCCAGCTGTGCCCTTCAGCTCTGTGTTGTATGTGTGAAGTGATCGGATAGACCATCAGTCATCATGAACGGCTCTCTTTTAACCCCGCCCAGCCCGCGGGCGGCCAACTCCTCTCCTCTACCGCCCTCCCCCTCCCCGTCTCCGTCCCCTCCGTCTCCCTCTTTGCTGCCCCTGTCCCCCCGGCCTCCTCCTCTGCCGCCCCTGGTGAGCCCTCCACCCCAGGCTCACCCGTCCTCCCTGTCCGACACCCCCACGCCGTCCCCCTCGCCTTGCCTGAGCTGGACCGAATTCTGTGAGCTCCACGCACGCGTCGCCGCCGGCGACTTTGCGCGCCACTTCCGGGCTTTTCTCCTGGAAAACCCCCACTACTCCCCGGATTCGGCGGCCGCCTTCTGCCGGCGCTTCACCGACCGTTTTGTCCGGCACTTCCAGAGCGAGCTGGAGGGGGCGCTCCCGCCGAGCTGTGCTTCTGGGAGGGACGATATGGTGAGCTGGGCTCCCCAGTCCGATGCTACTTCCCTGGAAGAGGAAGCGGTCTCGCCCCTGTCGGCGTCTGGGGGAGCCGTCCTACCGTGCCCCCCGACCAACGCGATGCGGGCCTCGTCAAAGCCTGCGCCGCCGCGGCTGGTGTTGGAGAACCGCAGCGGGGACAGGTTTCAAGATTCTTACGCTCACAGCCAAGTCCTGCCTCCATCTTCATCATCGTCGTGTTGCTCATCAGTGGGAGGGAACAACGGGAGGCGAGAGGAGAGGGGGGCCATAATCGCCCCTGGCAACGGAGAAGCACCGGTTGAGGAAGAGGAGGACAGCTGGTTAGGGGTAGCGTCTGTGGGGGAGGACGTTGAGCCGGAAGAGCGGGAAGGAGAATCCACAGAGGTGGACAGTGCAGACCCCTCCCACACTCCTCAGATTCCACCTTCCTCGTCCTCGGTCACTCCTCCGCCCGGCTCCAAAGGTAACAGTACGCCCAACTCCAAAAACAAACTGAAGAAGCGCTTTTCTCTGCGGAGTGTGGGTCGTAGTGTGCGGGGGAGTGTCCGGGGCATCCTCCACTGGCGAAGCTCCTCCAGTGACTCGGCCCAGAGCCAGCTGCCCTCCAGCTACAGCTACACGATGGGCGTGCAGGACGCCGCCTTGGTTTCAACCTCAAAGAGGAACTCTGGTACGCAGCCTCCCACGCCCACCTCCTCCATGCCTGTCTCTCTGTCCATGCCCCTCTCCCTTCCCCACTCCTCCTCCTCCTCGCTGCCGCCCTCCTCCTCGAGCAGCGCCACCTCTCTGTCTCTCTCGGAGGCCGCTCGGGACCGGCGGCGGAGCAACGGCGAAGGAGGCGAGAAGGAGAAGTGGAGCCATCGTCTGGAGAAGCTCAGACTGTCGCGATCCCCTCCTCCTGTCCTCACCCCGACCGGCGGCTCTCACTCCGCCTCCTCCACGCTGCCCCCGAGCAGCGCCGCCGCCGCCATGGGTCCTCCGAGGAAAGTGGGCCGGCTGGTGCGGGAGGGCGGGGTGACCGTCAGCTCGTCCAACGACGAGTTGAGCGCGGGCCACGGCTTCTCTGGCTTCTCGTTCGGTCTGCTGCATCACAGTACAGACAACAACAGCGCCGCCTCCGCTGCGGCTCAGACCGGTCCGGTTCAGCCTCTGGCCAGCGGCGGGAACGTGCCCTGGAGGGGAGGACGCTGGCATAAATGTCGCCTGGTCCTCAGAGAGAGGGACAGAGAGGGTGGGGAGCGGGGAGAGGAGTACTACTTGGAATTCTTCATTCCCCCTAAAGTAAGTGTTGGTGAAGCTTTAAAACATCGTACATACAGACCGAAGATAAACTGTTGATCCGGTACAGCAGCAGAACAACAAGAACATTTCTTTAGATAAAACATTATAGAAACAGCTACTGTAAACAGGTTTAACACCAAACATGAATGAGGCTAAAGTGTGTTGTGGCAAAAATAGTCAAAATAATTTGAGGAGACGAGGATGAATAATGATAATGGAATATTTAATACAAGAGTTGCAGTTGAAGAAGTGGAATCAGGTGTTTACGTCCTGTGTCTGCAGGTAGCAGCATCAGTTTATAGTTTATAGTTTATAGTCTGATAATCAACTGTTTTCATTATTTTTACAACCCAAAAATAAATGTCTCTTATTCTAGTTTCTGAAGTTTTACAGATTTGATTTCCCCGTCATATTTATGTGATATTAAACTAAATATCTTTCTTGGAAGACGTCACAAATAATCCCTAGTTGCAGCTCTAGTTTATGGTCTGTTTAAAGGAGCAGTTTGATTGGTGGTTGATGGTAAACATGAAGCTACAGACAGCAGCCGGTTAACATAGCTTCACATATTCAAACTAAATAAATGTTTTATGTAGTTTTTGTATTGATGGCTACATGGCAACATCAGTCTCTGATTCTTCTTGGTTTGTCTCCACAGTCCTCAAAGCCCCGGCTGACTGTCCCTTGCTGCTCTATCGTGGATGTGAGGAGCACCACGGCGCTGGAGGTCCCCGACAAGGAGAACACCTTCCTGTTGCAGGTAATCTCTCGCTCTTACGCTCCACAGGTATTCTTCCATCTGATCAAACACCTCTCCTCCTGGTGCTCTTATTGAAGTGTACACAGCTGTTCTCCTGCTATCACTATGTTGTGTTATCTGTAATGAAATAAATGAATCCCTGAATAGTTTTCTTCCTGTACACTCCCCATGGAGTCGGCTGGAAAACTATTTTTGTCCAGTAACTTTCCCCCGCTGTCCTCTGAACAATAACAAGGAACTGTGTTTAAAAGAAGATTGATTCAACCGCTCTTAGTTTAACCCTCCGTGTTTTATTCTGTCTCAGCTGGAAGGGTCGGCGCAGTACGTGATCGAGACCCGTGACGCTGTGCAGATGAGAGCCTGGCTGAGCGACATCAGGAACGGCATCTGTCTCAGGTAGTGAACGGATGGGGGGGGGCACCTACGGCTTCATTAGCACAGCTCGCCGTGGATACAGGCAGTGGCTTACACCTTAAACTCAGATAAAGACATGAGTTTAGAGTTCCAGTCTGAGATGGAACATGAGTCTAGTTCTGATCTCTGAAACTGAATGTAGGACAGGACAAGCAGGTCGGACGTCTCCCTGTAATGAGTCCCCTTTAAAGTGTCTCTCTCCCACAGTGAACAGGAAGACGCTGAAGGTGTGTGCGGGGGGCCGTTGGACATCAGTGGGACGCCTGAGATTGTTGACCGTCTTTCACAAGGTACGTGTGACCAGGTTTGTGAAGGATCTGAACCCTGGTTCAGGGATTCTTGTGTCCGCTTTATAGCTCAGTTCCCTTTGTGTTGTCTCAGTGTGTTATGGAGGTATCGGCGGCTCCTCCCCCTGATGGATCCTCTCCCCCCGGGAGCTGCCACCTCGAGCCCCTCTGGACGAACCAGACAGCCGGATTCTCGGGGGAGGCGGGGCTAGTCTGGGCACACCTTTTGCTGAGACACCAGACGCCACAGGTGAATATGATCCAACGTTTTTATTTAACACAGTGAAACTCTTTAAAGTGCTGCGAGCATTAAAGTACCATATTCACGTAGGGTCCTTCCTGTTCTCTGAGACGACAACCGCGGAGGCGGTGGAGCACCCGCTCAGTGAGTGTCAGTGGTTCCACGGCACCCTGTCCCGTCTCAAAGCGGCCCAGCTGGTGTTGGCTGGAGGCCCGGCGAGCCACGGCGTCTTCCTGGTTCGCCAGAGCGAGACACGGCGCGGAGAATACGTCCTCACCTTTAACTTCCAGGGCAAGGCCAAGGTGAGTCTGGGAGCTGAGCTCTGTGTGTGTCACTGTGTTCACTGTGTAAAGGGACAGTCCATTTATTTTACTGTACTCGTCCCCTCAGCACCTCCGTCTGTCCCTGAACGAAGACGGTCAGTGCCGAGTGCAGCACCTTTGGTTCCAGTCCATCTTCGACATGCTGGAGCACTTCCGGGTGCACCCGATCCCCCTGGAGTCCGGCGGCGCCTCCGACGTCACACTCATCAGCTTCGTGGGTGCCACCGCTGTTCGCCAGCCAGGTACGAGTGAACCCTCCAAAGAAAGGAATAAAAACCAAAACCAGAAACAGAGATTATAAAGGAAAGAAATGTGTTATTAAGCCCCTTTTTAAAGGAACACCCGACCATTATGGGATGTTTCAGAGGAGTGTTTCCTGTTAGCTAGCGACTGTCAGCTGAATGTGAACCAACTTTGTTTTGGTTGAAAACCGGAGGCAGGAGGAAGGAGAGTGCAGGTACTGAGGTTAAACACTGTTGAGCCACCTTAAATCACCGCAGGGGAAACTCCTCCACCGTGACAGCCGTAGTGTAGAAACCTGGCTGAAGATCCCCCTGAAGGTGTGTGTGTATCTGTGTACATCATCCAGCTGCTCTCACATACACACTGCATGAAGCCAGAAGCTACTCTCATTTCGTATCTCATCTCATCCTCCGCTCTTCCTCTCCACCTAGCAGAGAGTCAGAGTGTGATGTAATCCCTGATCTCAGACCACCTTTGTGTTTGTTGATTCCTTGAATTAAAAAAAAAGCCTTTTTATCATCGTGTGCTAAAATCAGAAAGTAAGCAGGTGTTGTGCTCCACTGCTCCCATCGCTGTTCTGACCTCTCTGTTGTTGTTGTTGTTGTTGTTGTTGTTGTTGTTGTTGTTGTCTGTTGTATCCGTTGGCTCATCCCTTGCAGGCCGGGACAGAGCAGGCAGTCGGCCTACAGTCTGTGACGCCATCACCACGCGCCATCCTGACTCTCCATCAACCCCCATCTCTGACTGTGTGTAAGTGAGACCGGACTCGGCTGAGAGAGAGAGAGTGTTTGGGAGCGAGCGGCTGAATGAGCTGATTGATTGATTCTCTATGTGCATATTCAGATTGGACACATGTACCGAGTCCGTACTGCGGCCGCCGTGGGTTCGAATCCAACCTGCGGCCCTTTGCTGTCAAATGCAATGACTGAATCTCTCTCAAATAAAGGGAAAAACTGACCAGAAAAATAATATATATAAAGATAAACAGTAGGTTTGGAAGGAAAAGGAGAGCTTTTGGGGGTTCAGTGTAAATAAAGTGTCCGTCAGCTGAAGAGGAAACATCGCTCGTATATCCGTCTCGTTCCATCTGTGAGAGTTTGCTCGCTCTCGCCTCCAGTTAGGAAGTTGTTTTAATGTCTGCGGCTGTCTGCAGTGACTCCATGCACTGTATACGTCCTCGCTGCGTCTCTTATTTCGACAATATGTCCATAAATACACGGTTGATGGCCGATCAAAAGGCACTGAGTAGATTTATTCATATACATTTTGCAACCTACCCAGAGGTCATTTACTTTGACGCAGCAGGGAAGCTCAGGAACGTTTTATTCATGCTCAAACTGTGACCGTCGCTCTATATTTACTGCTGTTAGACAACTTCACTGCCGGCTCCTCCCGCTGCATGTCGAAGTGTCCTCGAGCGAGATACTGAACCCCAAACTGCTCCTGAGTCCGTGTACGAATGAGTTTCTGTTTGTGATGAGCCTTTGCCGTCACTGTGTGAGTGTGGAATATGAGTGGTCGTATAGAAAGGAGCTATACAGGTACAGTCCATTTACCACCTGTCTGTCTGCTCCACCGCACTGTGCCAGTGCTCGTACAACAATCTATGTGTGTGTGTGTGTGTGTGTGTGTGTGTGTGTGTGTGTGTGTGTGTGTGTGTGTGTGTGTGTGTGTGTGTGTGTGTGTGTGTGTGTGTGTGTGTGTGTGTGTGTCTGTGTTTTCCTGGAGCTGGACTGCTTCCTTGACTCCCATAAGGACTCCACGACCGCAGACTTGTTCCACCTAACCGGCCACTCACTGTCATTTTCTCTTCTTCTCTCCCGCCTCTCACCCTTCTCTCCTCCGACTACGCTGTCACTTCACTCCTTAAACCTTATTTACCTTATTTCCTCCTCCTCCTCCTCCTCCCCCCCCTTCTGCCTCCCTTTATTTACACTTTTCTCTCATTTCCCCCCTTTTTTTCTTTCTTTCTCTTTCTCTCTCTCTCACCTGTTTCTTCTCCATACAGACTTGACCAGCAGACCCCGTAGCCCTCCTCAGCCTCCTCCCCTGCCACCGGGCCGCCCGCCACCCCCGACTCCTCCCCAGGAGAGAGGAAACGAGACAGAGGCGGGAGGAGGAGGTGGTGGAGGTGTTGGAGGAGGAGGAGGAGGAGCAGGAGGAGGACCGGCTGTGGTGACAATGGCGACCACAGGAGGAGGAGGAGGTGGTGGAAGTGGAGGTGGAGGAGGAGGAAGTGGAGGCAGCGGAGGTGGAAGCGGAGGAGGAGTGGAGGACTGGGAGGAGAGGGACAGGGACACTCCTCTCCGCCAACTAGAAGCTGTGGAGGGAGAAGAGAGGGAGGGAGCGAGGGCGCCCCGAGCCATCGATAACCAGTACTCCTTCTTCTGATGAAGGGAAGGCCAGGAGGAGGAAGAGGAGGAGGAGGAGGAGGAGCAGCAGTGTGTGTGCGTTTGTGACTGAGTGTGTGTGTAAGCGAACGTGAGAGTGGATGAGGCGGCGTGCATCATAGCCATTCATAACCAGTATTTTTATTTTGTTAGCAAGGAGGAGGAGGAGGAGGAGGTGTAAAAGTACTAACACTATAGGAGAGAGAGAGAGAAGACGAAGCAGACGGAGAGACGGGTGAGAGCAGCTTTACAACACTAACTCTTAACACGGTACTTCTTATTTTATTCTTTGTAGTCAGATAAGCTTTTGTTTTTTGCCGGTACGCCTCGCAGCGGGCTCTTCCTCGTGAACGGCAGCGAGAGCTCGAGCCCCGTGAAGCCAGCAGTCCCGATACCTCAGAGTGGTCCTGCCAAGACAGCACACGCTATTCAGAGGCCAAACATACAGACAGACGTTTACTGTGGCGGGTAGACCCCCAGACATCCCGCTCTGAGCCGAGACCACGTTACTGCAAACTCCATTTAAAAGTGTCTGATTGGAGCTGTGACACCAAACTGGGTCGGTGGACGTTGTGACCAACGGATTCTCGTTTTAAAGAGAGAACAAAAACAACGACCCGTTATCTGGGTTGTTTTACGTTTTTTCTCCTCCTGTGTATAAATGGTTGTCGGGGAAAATCCGTTGGTCGTAATGTGCACTTAAATTAACTCAATTAACAATAAACACAACATGTGATATATTTGAATGTATAATTATAATAATAGTAACACTAATGACACAATGCTTCAGCTTTTAGTTAACTTTATTTATACAGCACCTTTCATACCAAAGTGCTTCACTTTACACACCCAAACAAACCACAGTAAATACAGTTCTTCAAGGCTCGATATAAAAATAAACACAAATTGATTCAAAACTAAAAAGTCCGGTTGGAGATACTGAAGCTTCACACTTCTTCGGCTGTCCGACATCAAAAAGTGTAAATGCAACCAAGAAGCATCGCAGACCGATTGAGATCATGCTAATAAAGATGCTAATAAATCCCTGTGGAGGACGTTTCTACGAGCTTATGTTAAAGGTCCGGTGTGTAACATTTAGGAGGATCTATTGTTTGTTTTCATTAGTGTATAATCCGCCATGTTCCTACTGAACGGACAAACCAAACACTGACTCTAGATGGGCCTTTCGTGGCTATCGTAGTTTCTCCTGCTCCCTCAGAAGGCTGAGCTGTATTCAGTTGGTTGCAGTCTGAAACTTTAACACTATATCCCACTCACTGGTCCTTTAGTATGTAGGGTTATTGGCAAGAATTGTGCCCCCTGTAGTGTTTAGACAGGGTCAGAAATGTTCAGATGAGGTGTGTGTGTCGGTAGAGCCTCACCTGATCATCGATATCAAATGTAAATCTATAATATCTAAATACTGTGTTTGGTAACAGCATGCAGGAAGAAACAGACTCACAGAAACACTACAATTAGCTGTTAGCTGATTCCTGATCAGTTGAAACACTCAGTGATCTGTGTGGGTCCATTACCACCAGCACTGATCTGCATGTACTCAAACCAATGTAAATAAAAGTTTATTAAACTGCTTCTGGTTTTCATCCACTGGCAGAAAACCCAATAAGACACTAAAGTTAGAGTAGTTCGGTCCTACCTGCTTTAAATATACACATATATAAATCAGTAGCTGAGCCGCCATGATGGAAATACATCCTCAAGAATTCCCATTATTGGTGCCACTTCCTGATAATTCCCCCTTTATAACAGCTGTTAGTCTGTATTAACTTACAGCTTAAAGCCATTAATAATAACCACTTTCAGGCTGCCAGGTCTGGTTTATATTTGCTAATCAAACAGTAAATCCGTTAATAAATACTCATGATTTCTCAATTGAACAATCAATATGTAATAAACTACCAATAAAGTCATTATAACCCCTTTAGAAACTGCTTTACTTAAAAGTTAAAGAATAAACTGATCTTTGGGGCGTCAGTAAAAACATTCTGGTAAATTTAAGACAATAATGATTTGTTGATTATTCATCAAGAATTATAATCAATTAATTGTGATTTAATGTTGAACAGTTCAACACGTTATAATTGTAAATTTAATATCTTTTCCTCCTCATATATATATATATATATGATATATATATTTTTGTAATTTGAAGACTGCACACAGCTCTTAAAGGGCATTTTTACACTAAAAGATTCTTCAGTTATTCCAAAAAAATGAATCACTGATAATAAACAGTTGTCAGTTGTTATTGTGTGTGTTGTAGCCGTACAAGATTGTTAAAATGTTAAAATTCAGGCTTTTAAATGGAGATATTATCTGTTATAAAAGTTATAAAAGTCCCTCAAACAACAGGTGTTTGCAGCGTTTAAAATGAGTGATTTTTGAGTGGAGTTTGGTGTGACGTTGTCTGTGCGCGGCGGAGGATGTAATGAGTCTACGTGAAGCAGAGCAGGAAGACTTTTACCTCAGACACACTCAGCAGCAGCATCACTCAGTATATATGTCTCTCTCTCTCTTTCTCTCTCTCTCTTTTTCTCTCTGACACACACAAAAAAACAACAAAAACAAAAACACAAACAACCTGAACGGGAGATTTTCCTTTCAGAGAGAAATTATTGATGAAACCAATAACAGTAATATTGATGGAAATAATAATAATAATAATAATAATAATAATAATAATAATGACGGTCAGAATAATAATATTAATTTTATTTGTTTTTAAGACACCTTTTTATTTTGTATGCTTTACTCCATGTAACACTTTGTTCCGACTCCATCTTGTAATTCAAAATGTGTTTGTGCCTTTTTTTATTTTTGGGATAAAAAGAAGGAGAAAATATGTTTGCTATAATGCCTCAAGGCTATCCAGTATCCTCACTCTGTTTTCATCCTCTCCTCCTCGACCTCATCCTCCGTTCATCAAGGGTAAAAAAAAAAAAAAAACCTTAAAAAAATTAATCAATTAGCAGACGTCAATGAGAAACCTACTTTTTCTACTTGTGCCTTTCTGTGTCTGTCGTCTCGTCATCGGCCTCTGCCTGCTGTCGCTCTGTCTTCAGTTTAGAGCTTTTTGCCCCCCCCCACCCCACCCTGGTCATTTCTACCGCTCTTTTCTTTGCTCATGTATTTGTCTATATGCACCCCCCCCCCACTGTCCTCCTCCCAATCATCTTGTTCTGTGTCCTTTCTCTCAGTTTCAGAACTCTTTGTGCCTTTCTCTGTCTCTTTTCTCTCTTTGCTGGGACCGTGTGTTGAGGGCGGGCAGTGTTGTCTGTCCACCCCGTGTGGTTAGTTTCAGGTACTACATTGAATTTAATGATATAATATAAATATAGTGAAACATAAGAGCTCAGAGTCTGTGTCGTCTTTTATTCACTCCTGTAAGTCTGAAATGCTTTCATTTGTAATCAGTGTGCACAATAATTATCAGGTAGCTTATCGGCCGATAACGACACATTTATATTATTAGAAGTTATCAGTTTAATAAATTACAGCCAATAAATTATCGGTTGATATTAATAATCATTTATTTTTGATTTTTTTTAAAGAACTTTTCTAGAAAAAGTAACTTAACAACTGAAGAATCAGAACTTCTGTTTGTTGTAATCAATAGTTATTGGTTAGCTCAGATCTATGGATTATTAAATAATCGTTATTTATCTGTTATTTCTCTAAAATCTACAGGTTATTAACTTATTTATAAAATGTATATTTAAAAAAATACTCCATATCTACACTGAGAGTCACTTTGTTGAGTTCACATTAGGGAGATTTAGTTTTTCAGTCACAGTAACATCTGGAAATTAAAATGTCCAAAGATCCTTTTATTAATTAAATCTGCAGCAGATAACTTTTATAAAAACAGAACATGAGGCCGATAATCTGAAGTCCAGCTTCCTCTGATTCGTTCTCGTGCTTCTAACTGAGAATCTACTGGATGAAAACAACCAATCAGAGCCAAGAATTCATTATTTCAGCATTTATACGGCGAATATATCGTTTATAATGTTTAATCAGATTAATGAGAAGGAACCTCGGGGCCAGGTAGTCCTGCCTCGTGGGAGCTGTTGATTGTTATGTTATTATTATTATATATTATATTATATTAAGTGAGTATGTTAGTATACTGATAGATGTGTAAAGGAGTTTTAGAGATAATCAACAACAACAACAACAGAATTTATTTATTATGAAGAAGAATTTGAAGAGCTTTGAACTGTCCCACTGTCTTCCTCTGCGGATGGAAACCATGAGATAGTAAGTAAACCCTTTTTCTTAATTTCCAAGGTCAGGAGTGACATTTTATTCTTATTATTAATTATTTCATAATATTTGGTAAACACTTGGTTCAGTTGCTTTATTTGTTTTTTACACTTAATGTAAGTATATATATATATTAAGATATTGCTTTATTATTTGTTAATGGTATGAAACTGAATTTAATCCAGCTCACATTTGCTGAAAAACATTTTTAATGTTTCATTTATTTTCTGAAACTGATAAAAACAATCATCAGTTTCCTTATGTGACCTTTAGGACGGCCTTCAGCCCGTCAGATGAATGATTGACATGAAGCTGAGCCAATCAGAAACAAGGTCAGGAATGATTGACAGAACATTTGTCCAATCAGCGGTTACATTAAAGCAGTGGGCGGGGTTTGAGGTCGGTGCGTTCGCTACAGATACTCGGCGTGGCGCGGTTGATATTGAGTTACTGTTAATACTCGACAACACGCACACTTTGTGAGCCCCTACATTACTGAAAACGGTGATTTTAAACACAGTAAAAACATTTTTTATCTAAATATTAAAGAAAAAGTTTGATTTATTCTCCCTGGAGCCACCCCGCCCGCGTTAGTCGCCCCGTATCACATGCAGCGGACTCGCCGGGTTTTGGCGAATGGAGCGCCCCCGTCGCTGTGTTTTGTTGTTTTTCAGCGGTGTATCGTGTTCGGCCTGTCAAACCTGCGACTTTCCACCGGAGCGACGCGACTGGAACAACAGGGATGCACATGACTAAAAAGTATAACCGCTCTCTAATGTCCGCCGCTGGTTTGGCGCCAACGTCGGATTCTCCCGCGGCTCGTTTAATGTCTCTGTCGCTAAAACTACGACGTCTGCGCTAAAGCTAGCAACGTTAGCCGACTTAGGCTAGCTTGATTTTTACTATTCTGTACAACAACAACAACAACAACAACAACAACAACAACAACAACTGTAGCTAGCTAGCTTCCCCCCGCTGTGTCCTGTAGAGAGCCTGTGTGTGTGTGTGTGTGTGTGTGTGTGTGTGTGTCTCTGTGTGTGTGTGTGTGTGTGTGTGTGTGTGTGTGTGTGTGTCTCTCTCTCTCTGTGTGTGTGTGTGTGTGTGTGTGTGTGTGTGTGTGTGTCTCTCTGTGTGTGTGTGTGTGTGTGTGTGTGTGTGTGTGTGTGTGTGTCTCTCTCTCTGTGTGTGTGTGTGTGTCTCTCTCTCTCTCTGTTCTCTCTCTCTCTGTGTGTGTCTCTGTGTCTGTGTGTGTGTGTGTGTGTGTGTGTGTCTCTCTCTCTGTGTGTGTGTGTGTGTGTGTGTGTGTGTGTGTGTGTGTGTGTGTCACTTTCAGGCTTATTGTTCTCTGTCGGAGGAGCAGCTGATGCTTTTTAGCTGCTCGCTGACTGTTTGTGTTTCACCTCCTGCAGGAGCAGGAACACAATGAAGCCGCCGTCACAGAGCCAGTCCCCCCCCCTCAGCAGCCTGGTGAGTGCTGGCTGCTCCGCGGCTTTATTACCAGCAGCTGAGGCTCGTTGTTGTTGTTGTTTATTATGAAATGAAAGTGAAAATAATCCTGTAAACAGCCTGTAAACATCCTGTTCTTCAGCTGTTCTTCAGCTGTTCTTCAGCTGTTCCCTCCCTTTAAAGGAACAGTCTGTGCAGAGCTAAACAAAAAGGGGGGGCTTTAAACAGGACTGCAGTCCCAGGTTCAATACATTATATATTTATTATTTATATATGGAAGTAAAAGTGTGTCTGTACTTTAATTATAATGCTGTTTGTCACATTTTAGCTTTATTAAATATTAACCTGAATGTTGTGATTTTAGATAATATTCAGATTATTTGTGCAGCTGTAATCTGTTACTTACATAAAAGTAGAAATACATCAGCGTATAAATACTCTATTACAGGTAAAAATATCTAATTACCAAACTGAAAGCCATCAGGTTGTCACAGTGTCAGACTTACACTGTATAACTCATGATCAATATCTTATATGATAGAAAATTATAACTTTTATTGTTTGTTTTGTCTCTTTTTTTCGGTCAAATAAATAATAATAAATAAATAGAATATAAAATATATATTCTGTCAGTGGGTTTTACAACAGACAACAGCTGAAGTTAAAAATAGATTTGTTCTTGTTGTAAACACAATTTAAAACAGATAAATGTTCTTTGTCTTTAATTATAATATAATAACTCAGACTTTTGTGTTTGTTAACGGAGATATTATCGACAAATATCAGCTTGTGACAGATAAAAGATAAGATAATATAGATATAAACAGATATATTGAGTTGTATTTGTCAGTTCAGCACGTAAAAGACAGAAATCTGAATAATTTGAGGCTTGAAACAACTTTTTATTATTTTCTATAAAAAATGAATTAAATGATGAATTATTTAACAAAACTGAACTAATCGAGTTAATTTAATAATAATTTACCACAAATGTTTATGTTTTTATTTGTTTACGCTATCAGACTTTAAAACTATTATTTTATATCGTTCTGTTAATCAAACGAACGCAGCCGGTCCACTTCCTGTCACACATCCTGACCTTCAACCTTTCTGTGGATGATTTAGCATGTAAACAGTTTAATCTCCAACCTGCTCACATTGTTCTGTCTCTGCAGATGTTTGAAGGCGTCTACAACAACGCCAGGATGCTTCATTTCCTCACAGCGGTCGTGGTGAGTAGAGATTCTTCCTAAAGGGTCACTTCTGGTTTTTATCCACAGTAACAGAGTGTTAGCTGCAGCAGACGGCGCTCAGCGGTCAGTGGACGGCCGCAGCAACAAAACAGATTTTAACCACATAAATATAATAAATATCAGTTGAAGTGAACGCTAGAGCATATAAAAATATTCTAAATCTAACGTTCACTCGATATTTATTATTTTTATGTGGTTAAAATGAGTTTGCAGCAGTAGATTTCCTCCTGACGCTGGTCCTCCTGGTCCTCCTGACGCTGGTCCTCCTGACGCTGGTCCTCCTGACGCTGGTCCTCCTGACGCTGGTCCTCCTGACGCTGGTCCTCCTGTCTCCGTCTGCTGTAGTAACACACTGGCTGTGGACTGTGGAAGTGACCTCATTAAACGTCACTACAGCAACCCGAACTGTCCCTTTGGTTTGGTGACGCTTTCAGGTGTCAACAGAGAGACTGAAGTTTTCCTCTCTGCTGCTTTCAGGGCTCCACCTGCGACGTCAGAGTGAAGAACGGCGCCGTGTACGAGGGAATCTTCAAGACTTTGAGCTCGCAGGTAAAAACCCTCTTTGCACTGAACCTCTGAGTCCGATCAGAGCCGCTGCTGTAAGTGATTCCTGTGTGCTCCTCTGTCTGCCTCCAGTGCGAGCTGGCTGTGGACGCTGTTCACAAACAGAGCGATGGAGGAGGAGGAGGAGGAGGAGGAGGAGGAGGAGGAGGAGAGGGAAGGTGGAGGGAGTCAGTCCTCTCCACCAAAGATCGAAGACATCACTGACACCATGATCTTCAGCCCCGCCGACCTGGTGACCATGACCTGCCGCGATGTCGACCTGAGCTTTGCTGTCAGAGGTAACACACACACACGGACACACACACACACACACACACACACACACACGCACACACACACCTCTAAAGGCTCCATAATGAACACAAACAGAAACAAACAAGTGTTTTTAGAAGGTGCAACTTTTTCTTTAAATAAATAAAATTCACGAGGTGAAGATTAGAGACTGCAGCTCATTGGAGGTGGAGAGTTAAAGTAATACTACTTAATAACACTGTTGTTGATCTGTGTGTGTGTGTGTGTGTGTGTGTGTGTGTGTGCGCGGTGTGCGTGTGTGGCGTGTGTGTGTGTGTGTTCAGACACGTTCACTGACACCGCCATCAGCTCAACGCGGGTCAACGGGGACCACCGGGAGAAGGTTCTGCAGAGGTGGGACGGAAATGGAAACGGAGAAAACTTTGAGCTGGAATCAGACGCAGTGAGTACGCACACACACACACAGAGACACACACACACACATACACACAGAGAGACTTTAACTGTTGATGGTTTTATTCTGTTTCAGTCTAACGGCTGGGACGCCAACGAGATGTTCAAGTTTAACGAGGAGGCGTACGGCATCAAGTCCACCTACGACTCCAGCCTCTCCATGTACACGTGAGTCCGTCTCCGACCGGCTGAGTTTGTGTTTACAGTTTGATGCCTGCGGTCAGAACTAGTAGTCAGTGTGTTTAAGACAAAAGTAAAAATGAAAGTAATATCCTGAGTTGACCCACTGAAAGTCAGGGTCTATACAGTAAATGTATATGGGAAAAAAATTAATGAATCATTTTAAAATGCAGCCCATTGCAGTTCCAAGGTGAAGTGATTTTTCACATAATCTTATTCTTGTAACTTAGTAACTGAATGACATATAATGCATCGAGTCAAACGACACTGTTCCTCCTGTGTGGATTCCCAGCATGCCTTTGGAGAAGGGGAACTCAGAGGTTTACCGACAGCGGGAAGCGCGGGCGGCTCGGTTAGCCAATGAGATCGAGGGCAGCCTGCAGTACCGCCGCCGGGTCTCTTTGGAGAACGAGGAGGGCCGGAGCGAGGAGGACAAATACAGCTCCGTGGTCCGAGAGAGGGAGGAGAGGGCGAGCCCCGGGTTCACCTCCGCCGGCAGGTAACGCCTCGAGTCCGAACCCCGACCTTAAAGATATTCTATCTGCCACTCAAACTGAAATGAGAATAATGAAGTTAATGTTTGAGTTCCTGTTTTTCTCCAGAATAAAGTGACTGGACTTCCTCTCTGATTAGAAGCAGAACTTTATCCTCTCACCACCTCTCTTTTCCAGGGAAGGTAAATACATTCCTCTCCCCCAGCGGGCTCGAGAGATCGGCCTGTCGGGTAGCAGCATGAGGGCCGGAGGCTCCGGTCGAACCGCCGCGCCCGCCTCCTCCAGACACCCGCCAGCCGGCTCGTCTTCCCCCAAACCGCCGTCCGACCGGAGCAGCCCGCTGTCCGTCAGAACCGCCTACTCTCCCCACCAATCGCAGAGCAGCCCGCCGGCGGCCGGCAGCCCTCCCTGCTCCAATCACGTTCTCCCGCACTCCCTCTCCCATCCGCAGGCGCTCGCCGACGCCACACGCTCATCTGTTAACGGAGGTATGGACGAGGTTCAATGGAGGACAGACACTGACGCCTTTCTTAGTTTATGATCTTTATTTCTGTTTTACACTCACAATCTCTCTCTCTCTCTGTCTCTCTCTCTCTCTCTCTCTGTCTCTCTCTCTCTGTCTCTCTCTCTGTCTCTCTGTCTCTCTCTCTCTCTCTCTCTCTTCTCTGTCTCTCTCTCTGTCTCTCTCTCTCTCTGTCTCTCTCTCTCTGTCTGTCTCTCTCTCTGTCTCTCTCTCTCTCTCTCTGTCTCTCTTCTCTGTCTCTCTCTCTGTCGCTCTCTCTGTCTCTCTCTCTCTCTGTCTCTCTCTCTCTCTGTCTCTCTGTCTCTCGCTGTCTCTCTCTCTCAGTTACATCCAGAACTTCCCCTAAGTCTCAGAGACTTCAGAGCAACAGAATCCTGCGGACCCCGAACTCTCAGTCCTCTCCTGCCGGTAGGTCTCTGATGGAGAGAACGCCGTCTTTCTGTCGTAAATAAACACAAACTGGTTTTCACTTCCCTCCTTCTCTGCTTCCCCCCCCCACCCCCCTCCAGTCTCTCGTGCTCCTAAACCAGAAGCCCCTCCCCAGGACCTCCCCCTGGTCGGCCCTGCTTTCTTGGACTCCTCCCCCTCCGCTGTCACCACAGCAACAACCACCACCAAACCCACCGGCCCCACCCCGCTCTTCCCTGTCGATGGTGAGATGTTCGTTCTAAGGTTTCAGGTCGGGATCGTTGTGTTAATATTCAGAAAGAAACATAAACAGAAATATATTCTACAGTCACATTAACTCAAACCAATACTTTTATTTTGAAAACCATCAGGTTTCATTTTGTCCTGACTTCAGGAACAAAGAAAGAAATCCTCATTTTCTGAAAGGTGACTACGATAAACTGAACCGCTGCTTTAACGGATTCTTAAACAACATAAATAACAGTTTATAAAAGTTTTCAGGCATCAGGAGTTTGTAAAGCAGCAGCAAAATATTTTTATTATTAATATTAAACATTTATTATATAAAAATGTAATTAAGCAGTAATTATTGAAGCATTTTACGTTTTGTATAAAACATAAAATAATTTATGAACCGTACAGTTCCTCAGTTTCCTGGAAGATGTTGAATTGACGTCATTCGGCCACAAGGTGGCGCTTTAGCTGCAACCGTCCTGCTCTCTTGCTGAGTTCTGTGATTTTTAATGTACAAACGTATTGTTTGTTTTGTGCTGTCTGTTTATTTGTTGAATCCCAGCGAGGGACGAGCATTACAGAAGAGCTATAAGGGTTAATAACTAATATTAACGGGGTCCGAACCCCCGATGACCCACGGCTGTGATAGCAGAAGAAAATATTCAGTTCAAAACATTTGTTTGGGAAAAATAATTAGTCTTTAAAGAAAAGCAGAAAGTTTTAGAGGCTTAAATGAACAAATGTTTTCTCTTGATAATTTAAATTATTAAACAAATAACTGATTATAAAACTTGACAAGAGTATAAACTGCATGTAAAGACTAAACGTAACAGAACATCAGCTCGTCTCTGAGATTATCTGAGCTCCAGAACAACTATCAACCTTAAAGCAACATTTCTCCACAGTGAATGAGATCCTCAGCGCCGCGGCTAAAGAGCGAAGTGAAGCTCTGTCCAATCTGCAGGAAGGGAAGAGCAGCAAAGGTAAAACTCTTCATAACCTTTATAATTCTAATATAAGGTATTAATATCCAAACACAGCACTTTATAATTAGTCTCTATAACCCACTGTGGTCTCTCTCTCTCTCTCTCTCTCTCTCTCTCTCTCAGCTCCCACAGTGCAGCAGAGGTCTCAGCTGGAGGAACTCCGCAAGTTTGGCAAAGAGTTCAGGGTGAGGAGAGAGAAAGTCTCAGAGATATGTTACAGAAAATGTTGGATTTATAACTATAATTATATATAATATAATATAATATAATATTATATACTATTTATCAACATTTACACAAATCTACCAACTTTTACTGGATCAAATGAAAGACGACGAGGAACAACGTGAACCAGCAGTCTGAGTAAAGTTAGGATGTTTGTGTCTCCCAGCTGCAGCCCAGCTCCTCCCCCTCAGCGAGTCCGGCCTCTGCAGATCCTCCTCAGCACTCACCTGCCGACTCCTCCTCCTCCTCCTCCTCCTCCCCCGCTCCACCCAAACCTCTCACCTCCTCTGCACAAGACCTGCAGCAGACCACTGAGGCCGCTCCCCTCGCCTCGACCCCCGTGGCCTCGGGACCGGAGGGGTCGCAGCCCGGGACGACCCAGACGGCCCCGGCCCCGGCGGCGGCGGCGAGGAGGTCTGCGCAGAGGGCGGCGAGCGAACGGATGCTGCAGCTACAGTGTGAGTAACTGCAGCGAGTCCTTTCTGACTGTGAACTACCTGCAGAGGAACCAACCCAAACCAATGAAGGGTTACTAACTGATGTGGGCCAATCTACTGTTTTAGAGTTAGCTCAATGTCTCCTCCTCTTTTCTTCTTCCTGAGCTTTCTATACGTAGTTCTTCCTGATCTGAATCCAGAGTTTAAGGATCAGATCTGTTGCTCAAACTTCCTGACTATTCATTTATTGTCTCTTTGCTCTGTCGTGTTATTTTATATCTATTTAGTCTTTTTTTATAAATATTTTGTGGCTGAATTCGTCTTTTCTGTCCTTTTCTTTTTCGCAGGCAAGTGAAAAACTCAACTTTGAATCCGAATGCAAAAGAATTTCAGCCGGTAAAAGGAGCCGCGGTCCCGGTGAGTGAGCGTTCACAAACACACAAACATCTGAACGTAACTTCATCATCATCCCGTCTGATGATTCTCTCCATGTGGTCTGACAGAAACCGGCCCCGACCCCAACCCCTCCTCGACCGACCCCTCCCAGCCCCTCTGTGGTCCTGCCTCCTCAGGGACAGACAGGAGGAGGAGGAGGAGGAGGAGGAGGAGGAGGAGGAGCCATCTACAGCAGCCCAACTGGACACTACCTGTCCTATGTCTCCCCAATCCACATCCAGGGACACTCCATCCAGGTCTGAGTCCCTCTGGTGGGGGTTGTTTGTGTGGTTTATGTCAGACAGTGGATGTTAACCTCCTCCTCCTCCTCCTCTCCCTCTCCTCCTCAGGCTCCTCAGATGTATCAGTACACCATGTCAGCTGTGAACCAGGGCAAATACCCCAGAGCCAAAGGTACCCAGTGTTATTACCCTCTGTGCAGACTGTAGGAGGGTTCAGATACTCTAAGGCCCCCCCCCAGCAGTGACACACTGTGTTCTGCTGTTTCAGGCCCGGTGGTGGGACAGCGTCCGGACCATCACCCGACCTCAGCGTCCCCGATGATGTCAGCTGCGGCCTCGGCAGCAGGCCCCCCGCTGGTGGCATCCCCGTACCCCCAGTCCTACCTGCAGTACGGTCAGGTGATCCAGGCCATGCCCCCCCACTACCACGGACAGGTACCGAGGCAGAACACTGTCACTGTGGATTTAAAGGTCCAATAAATTAATAAATCTACACACAATGAAAACGGGGAATGTTTAAAGAACTTATATAGTATTATATTATTATATATTATAATATTATATATATTATAATATAATAGTATATTATTATATATTATAATAATATATATATTATTTTAATATATAATAATATATATTATTATATATATTAATATATAATATATAATAATATATATTATAATATATAATATAATATATAATATATTATAATATAATAAGATATATAATAATATATATATTATATTATTATATAATATATAATATAATACTATAATATATTATATTATATATATTATTATATGTTATAATATTATGTATATTATTATATAATATAATAATATATATATTAATATATATAATATAATATATTACGTTCATCTTACAGTTTCTTGTTATTTGTGTAGAACATCTCAGGACACTTCAACCAGAGGATCCGTTTATAATCTAAATAGACGTAATCTGATGTTTATTATCTGATCCTCTCACGACCCCTCAGATTCATCTGGTGGCCCTTTGGAGGGCCCCGACCCCTCAGGTTGGGAACCAGGGGACTGAACTGTATATAAAGGAGCTCCAACAGTAAAATGCTAACACAGATAATAATGATGCAATAAACAAAAGTATTATAAGTAAAACTGTTATTTTTAAGTACATTTTCCTGATTTATACTCCCACAATCCCAACCTCTCATAATAATAATAATAATAATAATAATAAAGCAAAGAGTTATTTATAATAATGAAAGTAACAATAAGATCAATTAAAAGTAAAATAGATTTGGCTCTGGCAGTATCTTAAAGTATATACATTTATATTTTTGTATAATATTAGTTTCTTGTATCCTCTTCTTCCTCATATCAAACAGATTCATGTTCAAGGTGACTTTATGAGATCTGGTTTGTGGTTTTAAAGGATCTGAATTCTTCTTCACACTGATCACAGCGGGACGGATCAATAACCAATCACAGTGCAGTTTAATGAAGGTTCATACAGAAACAACCTTAAAGGTCCAGTGTGTAAAAGAGAATCTACAGTCAGTGTTTGGTTTGTCCCTTCCGGGCTACCGTAGAAACGTTGTGTATCATTTTAAAGAGGATGTGTGATGTTACTGTGCTCATTCACCACCTTCACAGATCTCTCAGAGCTGATCGCTAACGTCGCTCTGCAGCAGCCGCACTGACGAGGTCGCCCACAGAGAGTCTGCAGACGCACATTATCTCAGATAATCACTGATCAATCAGTCTGATCAATCAGTCTGATCAATCAGTCTGATCAGCAGAACAAACACGGTGGTTCAACATGAGAGAGGAACTCATTCTAAAGTAACAAACACACAATGATTCTTTAAACATACACATTAATGTTATATTCCTCCTCTCCAGACATAAAACTACTTTATTATTAATGTTATTGAACGTGTGGACACACTGACAGTCTCAGTGATCATTGGTTCTTTAATCCTGCAGATTATAAACTGAGGTTATAAACTGAGCTCAGCAGAAACAGATGGATGGAAACAAACAGCAAAGTTCAAATGTCAGAGTGGAGGAACAAGAAAGAAACAGTTTGACTCTCCATCAGCTCAGCCAGTTCTCTATCTGATTATTATTCTGTAGATTTAAAGTTAAAAGGTTATTTTATCTAATCATCTTTTTATTGGCTATATAATGTCCCCCCCCCCGTCAGAAACTGTTTTATAAAGTGTTATAAATCAACTAAATGAGTCGAAACCTTTAACATGAGAATCTCTCTTCTGTGTCGTGACCTCCAGGCAGTTTACTCGATGCTGCAGGGGGGGGCCAGGATGCTGACGTCCGGGGCTCCTCAGCAGATGGGTCCTCCTGGCCACCAGTACCACGGCCAGGCTGAGGGCCAGCCGGGGCCACAGCAGGCCATGTATGGTAAGAAGAATTAAAGCTCAGTCCATTAATTAGATACTGTCTGATTCTGTGATATGAAAGCAGACTGTTAGCAACAGATAACTGATCCTGACTGATCAATACGATTAATTAACTGGCTACAAACTGGCTCCTCTTCCTCCGTTTCATTCCTCTCCTGTCGCTGCCTGAACCCGCCGAGTCTTCGTCCCCAGAGTCAGAGTCCTGGTCGGAGCCGCTGAGTCCCTCTGCTGCTACGCCAGCAGTGGTTAAACTCCCCCTGATGACTGAGAAGTTGCTAAATTCTCTCTTTTCTGTCTTCAGCTCAGTCGTTTTCTCACCACTCGGGCCCCATGCATCATCCTCAGCCCTCCAGCACCCCCACTGGGAATCAACCCCCACCCCAGCACACAGCGCCCAGTCCAGGACACACTCAGGTAGGACTGCTGTCGTTAACCGGCTGCAAATATCATTTAACATCATCAATCTTTTACAGTCCGATTTTCTTGGTCAGAATTGAACGAAACATACAAAACAGTTCCTCTAATGTTTAATCCTTAAAATAAAAAGCAGCCGTGATTCTGTGGTAAAAACCTTTTTACTGTTAGATTGAATAAAACTAGTTTCTATCTGGGCTGTCTCTGTTCGTCTGTTATTTAATCAGTGGTTGGTTTTATCTTCATTCGCTGTGTTTGTGTTTGTTCTCAGTCGAGTCAGGCCGGTCCTCAGCCTCAGTCCATGTTCCACTCTGGAGGTTTGTCTGCTCCCACTCCTCCGAACCTGCAGCCGGGCCACAGCTCCCCGCAGGCCACCTACACCATGCAGGGGTACAGCCTCCCCACCCACCAGCCGCTGCCCCACGGCTTCCCCTCCATCGGCCAGCTCACACAGGTGAACAGAGGTGGCACTGGAGCACCGGCACACCAGACTCCATTCACAAAACCACTGATTTTACCAAACAGATGATCTCTGTTAGTCTCTCCAACAATCCCCACTCTGGTGGAAATAAATCCTTAATTCATCGTCTGTGTAGCCACGAAGACGTCATCTGCTTGTGTTCATGTGGACTTTGTGGACTTTAGTGTGGACGTAGTCTCAGTCTCTCGTTTGTCCTCCGCAGGCTCACATGTCGGGACCTCACCACTCTGCCGGTCACGGACTGCCGCCCGTCATGCTGCACTACGTCTCCCCTCAGCAGGCCGGTGGCTCCAACCCCCAGCAGGGGGCGCCGCAACACTTCTACATCGGACCCCCACAAGGTAAAACTCGGCTCTGGTCCCGTGAGCCACCATAAAGCCAATAAAACCGAATCTTATGTGAAGAATAGATTTTAAAGAAACATTTTGTGTCTTCCAGCTGTTCAGGTCCAGGCTCACCCCTCCCAGCAGCTGTCCTTCCACCCGTCTGCAAACTGAACTCGTCACAGCTGGATTCAGGAGCGAGGAAGACGAGCCCCCACCCCTACCCCGACTCAAACAACTTGTAACATTCCCACCTCCTGACACCAGACTAACACGTCCTCCTTTTTACCCACATCTTTAGACAGAAACGGCTAACACGGCAACGTTTCTGGATTTAAAAATGTAAATACAAACTGTTTTCACACCTGAACACGAAGGTGGACTGACAACGATGACTGGTGGAAACAGTTTTTCTCCCCGTCCCACCTCTGTCCTTTTCCAGACAAAACCAGTTCATTAATAATAAAACCACTGAAAACAAACAACAAACGCTTCTGGATTCAATTCAGAGTTTTGTTTTAAAGCAAATGGGACGAGACTTTCAAAGTAAAATAACCTCCGGTACATCTACAGAACTTTAAAATCTCTCAGGTTTCTCGCTTTAATGAATGAGTGGAAGTTGACGACTGCCTGGACGGTAGAAATTCACTTTTTTTGCGAGAGTAAGATGAGAAGATGAGCTGGAGTTAGTGGTTAGCTTAGCTTAGCATAAAGACTGGAAGCAGGGGGAAACAGCTAGCCTGGCTCAGTCTGAATGGAATAAAATCCACCTACCAGCACCTCTGAAGCTCGCTGATTAACACGTGCTACAAAATGCTCAAAAGCACCGCGGCCCCAGAGGCGTCTCTCCGCTCTGCGTAGGATCCAGCTGGTCTACACCAGACACAGAAACAACATAGAGAATCTGGTCAATCTTCCAAATCAAATAGCAAGTGCAGAGTCTGGGTCAACATTGTGGCACCAGACAGGAAGTCAGAGATAAGAGTCGAGTGAGGAGAACAGCCAGGTGGAGTGGGAACCCTGAGGAACTGGTGGAGCGATTAGCAGAGCTACGCAGACGGTGCACAAGTATAAACGCTCATAACGGAGACGTACAACTATAAATCAGAATAAAAGGTCTATTTTCATTCCAGATCAAGAAAGCAGCAGCTGAGTAACAGATGGTCAACACAGGAAACTGCTGATTATATAACAGATTATTGTGCTTCTGTAGGAAGTCATGAGTTCACTACAGTTTCTACATATCTGCTCCTCAATCGTAGATCTGACTCACCTATTACACAACAGCAGCTTTAACACCTCGACACTCTTTAATAGCAGGTTACAGTGAGAAATGAATCCTAGTAGAGTTCAACATTTTCTTACATTTTAATTGAATTGTAGTTAAAAAAAACCAAAAACATCTCTAGTTCACACAAGTGGATTACAGATCCAGAGACAACAGTAACCATGGTAACAACACATAAATACAGTAGAAAACAAAACAACAATTGGTGAATTAAAAACATTCTCAGGAGTTGTCAGTAAAATCGAAGTAAAGCTCAAACATGGACACGCCTCTCGTGATGAGGCGCTGTGGAGGAAAGGGTTAACCAGTGAGGACAACAACAGACGATTCGCAGTTAAAAAAGGCAAAACAGAGAAGAAGAAGAAGAATCTGAACCAACGAGGGACTTTTGGTGACATTTTCTGAAGCCTGACAGGAGAACGACTGTGTCGACCGCTCGCCTGTCGACGACCGTTCGATTATTCTGGATTTTAATTTAGTGTTCCCCGCGTTACGTGTTCAGTCTGTCTGTGGGTGCTCACAGTGATTCTATCCAACAGTAATTATGTTCAGAGGTCAAATTTACAAAGAAACATTAAACCTAAACGTGTGCAGTAGAAATTATTTTCTACTTTGGATGGATTGAGATCAGGTTCAGACTTTTATTTTTTATACGCTGATGTTAGCATTTAGCTCATGTAGCAGTTAGTCGTAGATAGACGTTTGTTGTTGTCTATAAAATGTGAAAACTACGGAAGCCGAGAACAGGCGCGTTAGCAGTTTTTTTTTTTATGCCGTTATCTGAAGATCACAAGTTAATTATTTTGTTTTCTCAAAATAAGTTAATTTATCTTGAGAAAACAAAAGCCTGTTGACTCGAACTGCTGTGCAATTATTTCAATAATGTCGTTATCTCGAGATTTAAAGTACATTATTTGGTTTTCTTGAGAAAACAATGAGCTAATTCCTCAAACCGACGTGAATGCAATTATTTTGTTTAATTCTTGAAATCACAAGTAAATTATTTTGTCATCTCAAGATATGAAGTTAATTGATCTGGAGAAAGCAAAAGACTGAAGGGCTCTGCTCTGAAGAACGCAAGTTATTTATCTCAGTATCAAGGCGGATTCCTTACACGGATGCAGCTGCAATTATCTGGTTTATGTCGTTATCTTGAATCACATCTGAATAATTTGTTCAGAGCAAACAAAAGGCAGATTCCCCGAACAGACGGGCTTGCTATTGCCTTATCTCAAGATCAAAAATTATTTTTTTTGTCATCTAAAGAAATTGAGCTTTGTTATCTTTGGATTAAACATTAATTTAGCTGAAGAAAACAATCGTTGTCTTCTCAAGATAGAAGATAGAAATCGTGGGATAATTGTGAGTGTCCAACGGGTTGATCATTTTATATAATGGGTTATTTTCTGTACGTGAGATTGAGTCTAACTGAAGTACAGTGTGTGTAAAGAGGGAATGTATCTTCATGTTCTTAATTTCACTTGAGTTATAAAACAGAAACATGTACACACAGACGCTTTTTAAATCTGTTTTCTGAATCTGGGCCCAGCTGGATTGTTTTTAGATCACTTTAAGAAACCTGATAAACCTAAAACCTCTGACTGGAACAACGACACAGATCAGAAATCAGACAAACTGCCTCAGCTGAACCTTCAGAAACAAGAGTTCCTGTTCTCCGCCCAGAGTCGTTCTTCATTCTCAGTTTCTTTTCTCAGTCGTTCAGCTCTTTTAAATTAACGCCGTCGCAGGTTTAAAGGTGGAGGCAGAGAGATGTAGATGGCAGTTGAAAAGCTCACTGTGGTCAGGCAGTCAGAGGTCAGTCAGCCTGCGTCCCCTCGTTCACGTTGACGTAGTTCCCCTCATCGTCATCATCGTCTTCGTCATCGCTGTCGCTTTGGGTCGACAATTCTGGTGTTGATAATGATGGAAAACATGAAATTACACATCAGAGTCCAAAATGTAAAACTGCAACTAACGAGTGTTTTTATTATTGATTATTCTGCCAGTCTGTTAGTTGGCTCCATAAATGGAGCTATATTATAATACTGTAATACAGTATTATGATACAGTTTATGATACTGTGTTATGTTGCAGACCGATTCTACTATCTGAAAACAACATATAATATAAAAACAATATATAATATAAAATACTGAAAAGAAACATTAAAAGTTATATATCAGCAAACTGTTATTCCAGCTGTAAAGCTACAGTGTCACATGATGTACGATGTTTACGATGATCTGCGAGGTAAAATGAGTGTTTTTGTGTATGGAGTCTGGTGGACCGTAGCGCCCGTTGTCTGGTCTGAGATGCTGGTGCTCTAGCATCACATCTAGTGGCAAGTGCATTTTGTATATAACCTTTAATATAAAATAATACAACTGATAATATATATATTATTTTTTAAATTATGGTTCCTGTCATACAAATGAGCAGTGAGTCATTTTCAGCTTCCATTTTTGTTTGTTTGGATTAAAAAATACATTTCAGGAAACTTGTTTGGCGACAGACTGAACATTTTTTCATCCAGATGGAAAGAAAACACTTCGAGGATTCTGGAAGTCTTCAAAAGCTGTAACAGGGAATTCATGAGAGGAAGAACATCACGTGATCCGAATACTGAACGTCCAACTCACTTGAAGGGAAGTCTGGATCCACATTCAGGTACTCTCTGTCCTCTGAGGAGACACGGAGAAGGACACACAGTTACTGTGGTGCTTTATGGGAATTCATCTATTGTTAAACTGAGCAAACAATGGAAATGAACTGAAGTTCACACAGAACAGATCGGCTCACCTTTCTTCTCTGGGACGTTCTCATAATCGTGTCGAACGTCTGTGGATGGAAACAAACAGCCGATCAGTTCACAGAATATTGATTATGTTCACTTATCAAATCAGCTGATCCTCAGGGATGTTTCATAATATAACAGAAAGTATTAAAATGATAAAAACAGGACTAACGGTTTCACTTATAACAAAACATCATCATTTATCTAACTAACTCTCCAAATGTTTTTATGCATAAATCTCAGATAATCGTAGTAACGTACCTGAACTGGGCGTAGAGGCTCGGCTCAGATTCTGAGTCTCACCTTCAGGCAACACGATTCTGCAGAAACCAGAGAAGAAGAGACGATCAGACTCCGACTTACTGCTGAAGCCTTAAAGAAGTGAAAAAAAACACCAAACCTACATGTATCCGGGGTCTTCTGGGTCACTCTCTGTGTTTATGTAATCAGGTCCTAAAGAAAACAAAATGTCAGCTCGACATCATCAGCAGAGACACTGTTGTCCAAAGTCCTGACAACCAAGTCTCAGGTCCTGCAATAAATTACGAAGTTGAGACCAACAAACAAACGTAATCTTACCATCTGCTGGATTCTCATAACTTGGAATACTCTCTGTGGGATAGAAAGAGTCATATTAAGATTCGACAGTTATGACATCAAAGTGTATGAACCAACTCTAACGTCAGAGATAAACTGCAGGAAGGTACATCTCACTGGTTACACATGAAATAAAGACTAACATTACTTAAATGTGAATAAAGCCTGAAGAGGACAACATCACACTGGAAAAAGACATAATGAAGAAAAGCAGGATCTCACCAGTTTCTGTCGGGGTGAAGGATCGGTGTCTACGTTGAGTTCCAGGAACAACTGAAGGTGAGCTGAATGTGAAAAGGGAAGAAAAACACATCAGACAGCAAAGTGTTGGACCCGAGGTACAAAGTTTCTGTCCAGATAAAAACCCTGACGTGAGATGTCCTCTGTTGTCCCGGTTCAGTCTCTTAAAAATCAAGTCCACGTGTCTCTATTTAGATCTGAGAGGTCAAACTGTTGGGGCAGAGGACCGGTGTGAGGGTACAACCAACAATTCCAGCTCCATCACTATGAGACAAGAACCAGCAGGACTCTTCCAGAAGGCACTTTATATGCAATAAGCTTCTATCAGCCAATACTATCCACCACACAGGTGACCTTTATAAAGACAAGACAAAGCTAAAGGCAATTTTATCTAACCTGTTCAAAAAGTATGGCAATGAATTAAATTTGTGTTATAATTATTGATATTCAGTGAAGCGAACAAAATAATATCTTTATAAAAGCAAATTTATTTCTTAATTTCTTCTAAATCACTAAAAGAGATTCCCTCCGGGGGAACTGAAACTGAAAATATAAAATGAACACAGACAA